GCCAGTCCCTCTTTCTCTTCCTTATATAGCCCTGACCTGGAACTCACAGAGACCCAGCTGCCTCTGCCTCCTGAGTGCTGGGATTAAAGGCATGCGCCACCATGCCCAGCAAAAATAATTTTAAAAGAAAAAAGGGCAAAGCTAATAGGAAAAGTAGCAGTGGCTACACTGACAGGCCTGTTCCAGGCCCTCCCTCAAGGCAATAAGGCTCAGTCCCTGCTAAGTGAGGGACAGCATCAGTGGAGGACTGTGTGGCCCACATAAGCCAGGTCTTTCAAGAGCTCAGGGTCAAATTGTTTTCCCCAGACTCAAGGTCAAGGACCAGAACTCTGTAGAATGCCAGGAGCCCACCCTCGTGGAGTTTCCTCCTAAAGTAGCTGAACTCTGCGGATCACCAAGTGGGCCTTACTGAAAAGCAGCCCCATCTTCGGGCCAGGCGGGAGACAAGGAGGGAAGAGAGGAAAGGAAGGGGTGAAGGTGGCTGGACAACAGGACCCGTGACACACAGTGACAGGCCCAGTTAGAACGCCGGGCCTGTCTTCTTGGCTGTCTGCCTGCTGGAAGGGGTCTGGGAGTGCTGGGAAGGCAGGAGGGATTCAGAGGGCAGGAAAGGACAAAGACCTGCACCCAGAGTGAGAAGCTTCCAGAAGGAAGGGGAGAGGGCCCTCAGGAGTGTCCTGTTTGCTGAGAGCCTTGTGAGCACAGACAAACCAAGGGCTGGGAGGACAGTCCAGCAGGTAAAGACCCTCGCTGACATTGATCACTGGGACCCACATGGTGGAAGGAGAGAACTGACTCCTGCAACTGTTCTTTGCTTCACACAATTGCACTGAAGACTCTTCTCTCTCTCTCTCTCTCTCTCTCTCTCTCTCTCTCTCTCTCTCTCTCTCTCACACACACACACACACACACACACAAAACCACCACCACCACCACATCAAAAGTAATTTTAAAAGAAAGCCCAAAGAAATCACGAGCACACATCAGCATCACCACCATCATCACTGATAAGAGTTTAAGGACTTTATGAATCGGGTCACGTCACCTGTGCCCATGGGTAAGCATCATCAGGAGGGAGGTGGCCTCTTGCTTTCTTGCCAGGGTCCATTGTGAGCTCTGATGCTCAGGGCTGCTGGCACATGGATACACTGAGGCCCACATCAGAAGGGCCTGAATCAAGGCCACACGGGCCCAGTGGTGCCAGGGTTTACAGGGTCCCAGACAAGCCTCCAGCACAAGCTGTGTGGTGTCTCACACGGCCTGGGGCTCGATGCCTTCATAACAGGCATGTCTGGTTCTCTGGCCTGGGGTGGGGCATGCATGTGCCTCTGTATGCGTTTTACCTGGGAAAGCTGAGGAGTCACCACAAGCTGCTTAGACTCTGAGTCCTTTTTTCCTACCCTCAGCCCAAGAGGAGGAGCCCATGGGATCTTCTGTATGTCTCTTCCCACAGAGCTCAGGTTGAAAGCCTTTTAGTAAACTGCTTTTCGTTCCCCAGGCCCAAATCTGGCAATGGATCTCCATGGCCATTGGCATAGAGACACTCTGGGACAGTGACTTAGCTCATTTTCTCTAAATCCTAATCTGTCCAAAGAAGCAAGAAAACTAACCAATAAATAAGTAAATAAACAAATGACCAACATATATTAAGCTATTGATATTTAGTATACACTATGACATAGGCACTTCTTTTCTTTAGGCAAGGTCTTACTCTAGCCCAGGCTGGCCCAGAACTCACTGGCCTGAGCTGCCCTGCCTGGTGTAGGTGGTATTCTGTATCTTGCACTACAGGCAACTGAACCTGAGCCTTGTGTCTGCTAGGAAACCACTCTGCCTACCACTGAGCTGAACCCAGAGCCATAGGGCCCCACACCCCAGGCTCTCGCCTTCCTCTTAGCTTTCACACACCCTGTAGGGGAAATACTTTCTACAAAACATTTTAGAATGTGTTAGTGTGTGCATGTTCTTCTGCATATGTGAGCCAGTGTGCACCTTTACATGGGTTCTCGGGATTGAATGCAAGTACGCAGCGGTACCTTCTCCACTGAGCCATCTTCTGCGCGCACACACACACACACACACACCCCGCCCCGCCCCCAAGCTGGAAGAGGTTTTATGCTCACAGTACTACAGCTGGTGAGCAAGAGGGGCCAGTACTCCAGTACTCAGGGGCCAGCAAGCAACATGCCTCTAGAATCTGCTCCCTCTGGTCATAGCCAGCATAGTAGGGGAAGAATGAAGAGTTTGAGGGTCAGTCCATAGTCAGTGTAGTCCACAGGGAGGCAAATGGTCCTAGGAGGTATCCCCAGGTTCACAGCTCAGTTCCTCTAGACAATACCTATGGACTTCCAGCACTTTCTCAGGCTCAGTTTCCCCAGCTGTAAAGTGGGGATAATGACTCCTGCATTGTAGGACGCATTCCAAGCTCATGGCAACGGAGCCATCAGGGGTAAGAAAAGGGCTAGGGAGCCCCAAATTGCCAGGAGCCCCCGATGACCTCCAGAGCACTGACCATAGATCTACTGGATTTCAGGGGCGTAAGAAGAATGGGATTGTAGTTTAGGGGACTTGTGGCTTTGACCCAGAGTAACTTAGAACCCCCAAGCATACCCCCGACTTCTGCCACATGGCAGACACACAGTGGGGCCTGTACAGTGGGGTGGGAAGGTTGGGGCTTCCAGTCTTCTACTACTGGAGAATCACCTGCTTTTCAGGGCAGCAACAAGGGGTGGCCTTGTGAATGTAGCCCACAAATCACATTAATGAGGCCTTTCCTTGCTAATTAGCAGGTTCACCTGACAGGAACCTGAAAAGGCCAGTTTGTCCCAGCAAGCCCTAGCAGGCCTGACCTAAGCACCAGTGAGAGGCCTTTGTCCAAGGGCAGAGGGGACACTGAAGTTCCAACTGGGATGGAAGGGAGGCAGGGCAGGGGAGCACAGAGCAGGAGTCACAAAAATGGGGAGCAGCCCAAAGGACACCAGTCTAGCATGGGGACTGAAAAGCACTGATTTAGCAAAGGTAGCCCTTATGTCGCTAGGGAAGGTATGTGTCTCAGACCAGGTTTGTAACCTCTCCTAGAACTTGCTAGAACTCTGAACCTCTCCCATCCCAAACCCATCAAATCTGCAGTCTGATGCTCAGCCCCTCAGAGCACCAAGGACTTGATAGAATAGGTGGGTTTTACAAGCTCGGGTGATGAGGACTGATAATGAAGCTATTACTCAGGTTAGGGGTAGAGCACTTGCCTAACATGAGTCAGGCTTGGGGCCCTATTGCTGTTACCTTAGAAGAAAGAAAGAAAAAAAAAACCCTCTACGATTCTATGATCATTATTAACTTAAGGACTGTAGCTGTCGACAGGGTCAAGGAGGGGCCCGATTTCTGGAGTTAGCTACAGCAAAAAGAGGTACTTACACAATGGGGCCACAGTGAGGGTGACAGAGACAAAGAGCGCGAACATATATGTCTGGTGTGTGTGTGTGTGTGGTGGGAGTATGTGCAAGCGTGTGCTCAACCAGGAAGCCACATCCCATCTCTAATAGTGCAGCTCCAGGCTGTGTTTACTCTAGGTGACAGGAGTGTAAACAAGTCTCCTTCACACCCCTGCAAAGCACAAGTCAGCTCTCTACAAGCTGGTGATAGCCCAGCCTTGGCTGGACATAGGCGCTCAGATCCAGGAGGGTCATGGCTTGCTACCCTTTAGTTTGGCCTGGTATGCAAAGTGTGTGGGGGCTGGGGAGGGAGCCTCAGGAAGAAGGGTGCCAGAACCAGCAGCCATCACAGGAATGCCGATAAGGAGCTGGCCACAGTTCATCACACGCTTATTTCTAGCCTGCTGTATGCCCTGCAGGGGTCTTCAGGGGAAAGCCAACAGCTCTGCTTCAGCAGGGGAAGGAAATCCCAAGAATTCCCAGAGCCTCTGGTACAAAGAACCTGGGAAGGAGGCACGTAGGGAATGCTAGTCCAGGTCCTGGGCCTGAGGACTCTGCATCCGATGAGTGTTCGCAGTGGCTGGGCAGGGTAGACCTTGCTCATTTGGTAAAACTGAGCGGAGTCCCCAGCTTCCGCTTGCTGGGATGGGGAGGACCAGCAGCCGGCAAGGAACCACCGAGAAATGGAGCAAAAGCAAGCTTGGGCAGCTTGGTCATGGCGGCTCCAGCAGCTGCTTTTGTGGCCCAGTCTCTTATCAAGTGAGACTACAAAGATCTGTGAAGATTCAAATCTGTTTTCTCAAGGACTTAAAAGACAATCACACATCCTTTGAAGCTCTTGTTTGGGAGGCAGAAGGCTTAATTAGGACTGTGATTGCATTCAGCAGGGCTGTAATCGCCAGATACATGGTCTAGAAAAATTTACCCACCACCACCTATGCCTGTTTGCATTTTATCCGAACCCAGCCTACCCTTGTGCAAACAGACCGGACCTGGGACGTGGCTGTAACCACATGCCATGCAGGCTCAATTCCTTCACATACCTGGACATGGATTTCTGATTCCCCAACCTTCATCTACCCCCTGTCCCCCAACACTGAAAACCAGGCAGATGCCTCAGTCTCAGGGGCCTTTAGACCTGGAATGATCCACCCCTTTGAAACCTCGGGGTGGTCTCTTCATGCCTGTTTCCTTTGGAGTACAGCCATCTGAGGACAAGGAAATGAAGTAGGCAGGGACAGGCAAAGTTCAGAGTGGGAATGAACCAGGCACAGTGACACACACGCTTGTGGCCCCAGCTATTAGCAGGCTGAGGCAGGAAGATCAATGGAGTCCAGGAGTTCAGGGCCACCCTGGGCCCCATCTCAACAAAATCAACAAAAAGCTGCAATGACCTGAGAGTAACACACAGTGATTTAGAAACTGCTGGAGAACTCTCTGGAAAGGCTGTCAACAACTACTTTAGACTTTAACAGTCTCTTGCAGCTACTTATGTCCTCACTGAAGCAGTGTCCTTGTTTGTTTGTTGAGACAGGGTTTCTCTGTGTAGCAGCTCTGACTGTCCTGGAACTCGCTTTGTAGACCAGGCTGGCCTCAAATTTAGAGAGATCCACCTGCCTCTGCCTCTCAGAGTGCTGGTATTAGAAGTGTGTGCCAGGCCAGTTTCCTTTTGTGTTTTCAAAGGTTGCCATATACAGGACCTTGGGCAGTCCCTCTAAAACAGTGGTTCTTAATCCCTTTGAGGGTTGAGTATTGGATGTTTACAGTTATGAAGTAGCAATGAAATAATTTTATGACTGGGGGTCACCATAACATGAGGAACTGTATTAAAGGGTGGCAGCATTAGGAAGGCTGGGAATCACTGATCTAAGCAGCCTCAATACCATACCCACTGAACAGAAAACACTGAGGCCCAGGGAGTTAGTACTATCACAGGGGATGGATGGATGGATGGATGGATGGATGGATGGATGGATGATAGATAGATAGATAGATAGATAGATAGATAGATAGACTGGCAAATCCACTGCCATCCATCCCAGAATTCTGAGCACCAGTTGCTTCCCTCTTCAACCCCAAGAACAGTAAGGAGGAGGGATATTCTCATGCCCGTGAACACCCCAGGGAACACTCCAGAACACAGGCGAACCAGCCTGCTGGGTTTGTGCTGTCTACCCCCGAAACCCCAGCCCAGTGCAGACACAGCCTAGCTGAGTCAGCTGAAGGCCTGGCCCTGCCCTGGGGACAGGGAGGAGCTGCCCCTTAGATTCCTGCCCTGCCTAGACTGGCAAGAGCTGACAGGATACCCTGTCTCTCCTCTCTCCAGGACTGATCCCTAGCAACAGTCTGGTCATCCAGGGAGAACAGAGAGGGAGTGTGGGAAGGCTGTTCTGAGACTCTCTTTGGAGAGGAAGTGGGGAGCTGGCTATTTAGGCATATACCCTCTAGTCCAATTCACCTAAGATCCCTTTTGTCCAGAGTGAAGTCTGCAAGCTTGCTGAGAGTGCCAGCTCTACCTGGGTTCAGATGTTGGCTCTCTCACCAGCAAGACTCTGGGGTACTAGAAATTCTCAGACTTGTTTGGTTGTGACAGCTCTACTGAAAAGCATCTGTTTGTACCCTTGGGGACAATTGCAGCTCTACCATTTAAATCTTGTGATTTTCAACAAGTTTTGTAACCTCCCTAGTCCTTGGTATCCTCATCTGGAAAGGCAATAATAGTATCTTACACTAGACAAAAGCTCGGTGAGTCAACAGCAAACATTTTAGGAGAGCTTGCACCTAGGGAAGGGGGGGGTGACAGTTTGCTATTGATGTCTTCATTCAGCCAAGGTGTTGGGGCCTCACAGAGTACTCTTGGAGTAGGCTTGCCAATAAGAGTAAGCAAGTTCCTAGGACATAACCCCACTTTGCTCTGCTCGATTTCCTTTTGCTGCAGCTTATGCTCTGCCCAGAATAACCCTGAGGTCCCCTTAGAGGCATCTCTTCTCTCTTCCTCAGGCACCTAAAGACTGTCTTACAGCAAAGGCCCCCATAGGGCAGGTGGGCATGCTGCTAGTTGTGTTTGCTTGCTGATAAAGGTCTTTAGATCAGGCAAAGGTGACACCTTATATTTATTGTTTTTTGAGACAGGGTTTCTCTGTGTAGCCCTGGCTGTTCTGGAACTCACTCTGTAGACCAGGCTGGCCTTGAACTCAGAGAGATCTGCCTGCCTCTGCCTCCTGAGTGCTGGGATTAAAGGCGTGCACCACCACCGCCCTTCGAGAGGTGATATCTTGTTTCTGCCCTGGTCCCTAACATAGAATTATGGGTGTCAAAGAACCCATAGCACCAATGAGGTTGCAATGTCTTCTGTGGTCCAGCACGATAGCTATAAAGGTGATGAAGACAGATAAATTAGGGGAGTGGGAGACACACCTTTGTCTCCCTCTGCAGACCCCAGAATCATGTCTCAAAAACAAGACGTGAATACCACCATTTCCCTGGGTTCTACTCAGTGAAGAGTGCACAAACCGTAGATCAAGGAAGAGATAAGGTGACACATAGCCAGACCTGGGGCAGAGCCAATTTGTTTCCACAAGTTTGCAACCACCCTTGACTCAAGGGCCCCCTGCTTTCCACTGTTCCACCTCTGACTCCTTAATCTGAGACCATAGACAACCCAGACCTAAGTGGACCTCGCACGAGTTTGTGACCCCCCCCACTCCCACCCCGCCAAACAAAACACAAACCAAACTAATTCAGTGTTACAAATGGCTGGCAACCTGTTAGCAGTGACTTGCTTCATTGCTGACTTTTCTTACCCAAACAGAAGAGCACCTGAGGCAGGCTGTGGGGCAGAGGAAGCGGAAAGGGTGAGAGACAGATGCCTACATCCCAGGAGCACTTCTGACTCAGAGAATGCGGATATGCAGTGGGGTGGGAGACACAGCAAAGACAGCCACACAAACCCCACCAAAGGTTGAGAAGGGGGAAGGGAGCCGATGGCAAGTGAGGGCGGCGGGGTTAGCCGGCCTTGCTTTAGGGGGTCCCTGCACCGCTCTGACTCGGGCTGCCGGCCCCTCCTTCCCCTTCCTAGCATCTCCTTGGCCCGTCCACAGGTTCCAACGTGTCCCTGCCCCTGCCCGCCTTCCCAGCGCCCAAGTGACGCCAGAGCCGGTCGAGAAGAGCCGCCACCGGGAGTTCGCACTTGTCCCCCGCCTCCTACCCTGGGGTGCACTTACCAAAATCCCTGGTTCCCTCTTCCTGGGCCTCTTGGGTGAAAATCCAGGGTGGGTTGGTGGCGTAGAGGGACGTGGCGGCAGAGTTTGTATGCTTCTTCCCAAAGAGTTTGCTGAAGGTGCCCTGCATCGTCTGGCTCTTTTTCATGCTGCTGCAGGCCTCTCTGTCCCCGAGGGAAGGACCTTGCCTCCCTCGCCCTGTCCTGCCCCTGATTGAACTCCGCAGCGTCTCCACAGGGGACACTACCAGGCCATGGCCCCCAGCCGCGCTCCCCGCCCGCGCACCCCGCGGCGGGGGGTGCGGGCGCCGCCGCCGCTCGCCTGGAAATGCGAGCTACCTGGACAGGTAAGAGGCTGCCGCTGGGACCGGGCCCCGCCCCGCCGCGCAACTCCTCGGGCCACATTCCTGCCTCCTTCTACAACAGCCCATTGTTGGCACGGTGCGCTGGGCTGAGGACCTCGCCCGGCCCACGCCCTGCCTGGGAGAAGAGAGGCCCCTGCCCCGGGTTCCCCACCGGCCCGCCCAGTCCACCACCTTTTCCCAGGGCCAGGAAAGGCCTGAGGCTAGTCCCTTAACTTCTGTGGGCTGTTCCTGAGCAGATCAGGGTGGGCTGTTTAGAAAGGTTCTTGTGTCCCAGAAAAGGGACCTGCCTGGCCAAGCCAGCATGAACTAGCATCCCGTGGGCCCCTCTGACTTGTGGGCAGGAGAGTTGGATGAATACAAGCAACTACTGTAAAATAGCAAAAAGGTAGCGAGCAGGGCTCCACAAGGTAATGTAAGCAAACAAAAGCACTTGAGAGACAGAGGCATAATTCAAGGCCAGCCTGATCTACACAGGAAGTCACAGGCCAGCCATCATTAAGAAAGGTCTGTACCGCCCGCGGGATGTGGTGGTGCACGCCTCCCCAGCACTGGGGAGGCAGAGTCAGGCTGATCTCTGTGAGTTCAAGGCTAGCTTGGTCTCCAAGAGCTAGTTCCAGGACAGGCTGCAAAGCTACACAGAAAAAGGAAGGAAGGAAGGAAGGAAGGAAGGAAGGAAGGAAGGAAAAGAAATGCCTGTACCACTCTTGAAAACACAAGGAAGAAACTATCCTCATGGTTAGGGCTCCAAAGAGAAAGAGATCTTAATAAATACATACATTATTATCTTATTATATGTAGGGGGCAGGGTATCTCTATTATGTAGCCCTGCTGTCCTGAAGTTTGGTATGTAGAGCACTCTGGCCTCAAGCTCACAGAGATGATCCTTCCTCTGACTCCCATGTGCTGGATTAAAGGCTTGGGCCACCAAACGGCGTTTAATATAGTTTTAATGAAATAGTCTTTTATTTAGTTTTTGACAATCCCATACATACAAACAATTCATCTTGAGCATATCCATGCATGCTCTCTTCCCCCAACAACCCCAGCCCAGCCTTCCTCCCCATCAGGCCCTCTATTTTTTAAATCAGTTGGGTCTAGTTAGTTCTGCTTGTTGGGATGTTGGTGACCTCATTGGCCTGATCTTGTGTGGGTTACCACACTGCAGTCAGTCACTCAGTGCAATGACATAACATTGGAAATTTGGCATTTTGTAGACATCAGATTCTTTTTTCCTGTATTATTATTATTTGGGGTGGGGGGTTTGAGACAGGGTTTCTCTGTGGCTTTGGAAGCTATCCTGGAACTAGCTCTTATAGACCAGGCTGGTCTTGAGATCCTCCTGCCTCAGCCTCCTGAGTGCTGGGATTAAAGATGTGTGCCACCACCGCTCGGCCTGTATTATTATTTTGTGACAAGACATTACTATGTAGCTTTGGCTGACCTGAAACTTTCTGTGTAGGCTCTGAATCATAGAGAGCTGTTTGCCTTGTCCTCTCAGGAACTGGAACTAAAGGCATACTGCATGCTCAACTGTGAGTGCAATTTTTAAAAACCAAATTTGGGGTTCTGGAGAAGGCTCAGAAGAGCTGCTCTTCCAGAGGACCTAGGTTCAGGTCTCAGCACCCACATGGCAGTGGAAAATGATCTGTAATTGCAGTTATAGGGGATCTGATGCCCCCTTCTGGTCTACGTGTGCACTGCATGCTTGTGGTGCACATACATACATGCCGGCAAATACTCATACATATAACATTTAAAAATACGTTTTGGTGGCAGAGTCTTACTGTGTAGCTCTGGATGGCCTAGAACTTGCTATGTAGATACCCAGGGTGGCCTGGGGCTCACAGAGATCCACCTGCTTCTGCCTCCAGAGTGTTGGGATTTAAAGGGCATGTATCAGCAGGCCAGGCATGAATAAAATCTTTAAAATTTTTATTATTATATGAGTGTTTTGCCTGCATGTTTACATGTTTACCACATGCTTCTTGGAGGTCAGAAGAGCACATGGAATCTGCTGGGATTGGATTTACAAATGGTTGTGAACCACTGTGTGGGTGGTAAGAATTGAACCTGAGTCCCTCTTCAAGAACATGTGCTCTTAACCTCGGAGCTAACTTTCCAGCCCTAAAAATAAAACCTTAAAATCCATATCTGGAGCCAGCCTAGTAGACCAGCTTTGTAATCTCTGCTACTTATAAGACTGAAGCAGGAGGGTGCCCAATTCAGAACTATATGAATTGCATAGATGGTTCAAGTCTATCTTGGGCAACTTAGCAAGACTCTCTCAAAATATTAAAATAAATAAAAAGTAAGATAGGGATGCAGCTTAGCACAAGGTTCTGGGTTTAGTTCCCAGTCTCACTGTGCAGCCCTGACTGTCCTGGAAGTCACTGTGTAGATCAGGCTGGCCTCCAACTTACAGAGATCTACCTGCCTCAGCCTTCCCAGTGTTGGTAGTAAAAGCATGCACCACTGCATCTGGCTAATGAATATAAGTTTAAAAATAAAGAAAACCAAACAGATATAAGGTCAACAGTGATAGTGGAGGAAATGTGACATTAATGCCTGGCTTCTATTTGCCCCCTCGGAAGTGTGCATACACCTGAATTCACATGTACTCATATACATCACACACACACACACACACACACACACACACACACACACACACAGAGAGAGAGAGAGAGAGAGAGACATCCACTCTATAATAAAATTGTCCTTCTCCCTCAAATGTCATTTATTTTTCAGTTCTTGGCCCACGGCATAGTCAAGATCCATATGTTGCCATTTCTCATCCTGCCGCTTTAATCTCTCAATTTAACCGTCTCCTGCCTGTTTGTTTGTTTTCCATGGCAGTGACATTTCTGAGAAGTCCCCTTCAGCTCCAAGAGACAAGAAGAGCCATGCCTTCAGGGCTTGCCACTGTTGGGACGTTGTTTTCCAGGTAAAATAGATGGGCAGGGGTGGAGGAAGGCAGGGGCAGGAGGGTGGAATGGACTGAATTTTTTTGGTAGTGTTGGGAGTAGAACCCAGGACCTCAAACATGCTAGATGTTCTAGGAAAAGGCTCTACCCTGAGCTACAGTCTGAGGGTGTAGCTCAGTTGGGAGAGTGCTTGCCTACCATGCCCAGGTTGTGGATTTGATCCCTTGTGCCACATAAGCTCATCTGGGAAAATATGCCTATCATCCTATCATACAAGAGGTGGAGGCAGGAGGATCAGGAGTTGGCTTCATTGCAAATTCAAGGTCAGCCTGGGCTAGGTCTCAAAACAAACAAACAAGAAGCAACAAGAAAAACCAGAAAAACAATTTTTTTTTTCCAGACAAGATTTCTCTGTAGCTTTGGAGCCTGTCCTGGAACTCACTCAGTAGACCAGGCTGGCCTCAAACTCCCAGAGATTTGCCTGCCTCTGCTTCCCAAGTGCTGAGATTAAAGGCATTCACCAACAATGCCCGGCTCAGAAAAACAATTTTAAAAGCTTGTACACAGGACTCATGGGAGACCTCTCAGTGGCCACGTAGTGAGTAGGTAAGTGGCCACGGAGAGAGTAAGGATGTGTTTTGGCTTTTTTATCCCACAGGGATCTTGAGATCTCAGCAGGAAGACAGGTTTATGTGACTGGAGGTGGCCTACTGTGAATGACTAAGTACAGGACTGCAGTAGCTGTTGCTAACACATAGAGCAGTTCACAAGAGCAGAGGTCAACAGGAGCTGTCTAGTTCAGGAAGGTTTCTAAAAATGGAGAACAGAGTTGGCCTGTGCAGGAAGACACAGATGTCACGGAGACAGGAAGGAGTCCAGTGAGGACAGTGCATAAAGCTATGTAACCCATAATCCCTTTACCTTTTTCTCGCTGGGTGTTGGTGGCACACGCCTTTAATCCCAGCACTCGGGAGGCAGAGGCAGGCGGGTCTCTGTGAGTTCGAGGCCCGCCTGGTCTTCAGAACGAGTGCCAGGATAGGCTCCAAAGCTACACAGAGAAACCCTGTCTCAGAAAAAAATAAAATCCCTTTACCTTTTTTTTCAATTAGAATTTTTATTTGTTTGTTTGTTTGTCTTTATGTACAACCTGTATGAATGCTCATAAAAGCCAGAAGAGGGTGTCAGATCCCCCCGGAGCTAGAGAGAAAGGCAGTTCTGAACCACCAGACGTGGGTACTGAGAACCAGCATGGTCCCCTGGGAGAGCAAGAAGCAAACTACTGACCCCCTTGCAATTTTTTAAACCACGTTGATTTACTCGTGTGCCTGTGTGTGCATGAGCATGGCACAGTGTGCCCGTGAAACTCAGCAACTAGTAGAAGTCACTTATCTCCTTCTACCATGTAGGTTCAGAGGGTTGGATTTAGGTCATAAGCTTGGCAGCAGGTCCCTTTACCTCCTGAGCCATCTTGAAGGCTGCCATCCCTTTACCTTTTGTCTTTACATCATAGTTTCCTCTACTGTCCAAATGGAAAGGACACAAGGATCCCCATTAGATCTTGGACATCACCATGGTCCACCCAAGTGTTCTAGATACTTAGGCACATGACAGAGGCTACGTTCTTGGAGGCCTATGAGACATGAGGTCTCTCTTGCTCTGGTTGCTTCTGGGCTCTTAGACCCAGCATGAGGCCTGGCAGAGTCACCATCCATAGCTCCAATCATATGTAACACCCACTGCATTCTTAATCAGCCAGTCTAGCTGAAATAGCAAGTTCCAGGTTCAGTGAGAGACCCTGTCTCAAAAAATAAAGTGGAGAATGATTAAGACATTTAAAGTTAGCCTCAGGGCTGGAGAGATGGCTCAGAGGTTAAGAGCACCGACTGCTCTAGCAGAGGTCCTGAGTTCAATTCCCAGAAACCACATGGTGGCTCACAACCATCCGTTATGAGATCTGGTGCCCTCTTCTGGTGTGCAGATATACATGGAAGCAGAATGTTGTATACATAATAAATAAATAAAATCTTAAAAAAAAATAAAGTTAGCCTCTTAGCTGGGCGTTGGTGGTGCATGCCTTTAATCCCAGAACTCAGGAGGCAGAGGCAGGGGGATCTCTGTGAGTTCAAGACCAGCCTGGTCTACAAGAGCGAGTGCCAGGATAGACTCCAAAGCCACAGAGAAACCTTGTCTCGAAAACAAAACAAAAAAGTTAGCCTCTGAACTCTACATGCACGCACCAAAGCATGCACGTGTGTGCACGTGCACACACACACACACACACACACAAACACATACATATGCACACACATATACACACATATACTGCACCAATATTAAAATGAAAAAAAGGAGTGGATATGATTAAAATACAGTGTATACATGCATAAAATTCCCCAAAATAAATAGAAAATATATTTTAAAATTAGAGTAAGAAGGATGCCTGGAATAATCAGAAACAATCAAATATCCACCAAAAGATAGCTGGTTGGATAAATTGTGTCATATCAACACGATGGGATCATCATGTCACTCTCTGGAGACAGTGATGCATCCTGTAGTCCCAGTCACTCAGGAAGCTAAGCAGAGAGGAACACTTGAGCCCAGGAGTTAAAGACCAGCAGGGGCAACAGGGTAAAATACCATCTCGGGGAAAGGAGTGAAATGAGCAAGTGCTGACTCTACCTAGGCATCTCCCAGATGCAGTGACAAAGTCTTAAGCAGCCCTGTGCAGCAGTGTCCTGATATTTGTGAAAGGGGGAGGAACAGGTAAGTATGGTCTTATTTGCTTTTGTTGGCACACAGAGAAACTTTGAAAGCATAGATTAAAATCTAGTAAAAGTGTTTACTGAGGGAGGAGGCAAATGGGAGGGAGAGTCTTTCCACAAAGTTTAAATCATGTAAATACATTTCCTATTTTAAAGTTAGAAACAGCTGGACAGGGCAGCGCACTCTTTTAATACTGGCACTTAGCAGGTAGAGGTAAAATCAGGAGGATCTCCGTGAGTTCCAAGCCATCCTGGTCTACATAGTGAGTTTCAGGACAGCTACATAGTGTGACCCTGTCTCAAAAATTAAAGTTAAAACAAAGCCATTGAGGTGTTTCACACTGTTAATCTCACAAAGTCATCCTTGGCCGGGTAACAAGTTTAAGGCCAGCCTGGGCTACAGGATACCCAGCTTCAGTAAATTAACAAACAAACAAGTAAAAGCAAGTAGCGGTCTTGGTCTAGGAGGGCCCTAGTGCAGTCCATGAACTACCAGTGTCTGAATCCCTGGTGTGTGTGTGGGTCTCTCTTATTTTGTTGATTTATTTATAAATTTTTATATTTATTTATTTTTGTATGTAAGTGTTTTGCCTGCGCGTGTGTGCGTGCGTGCATGTGTGCGTGCGTGGTGTGTGTGTGTGTGTGCGCGTGCGTGGTGTGTGTGTGTGTGTGTGTGTGCGTGTGTGCGTGCGTGTGTGGTGTGTGTGTGTGGTGTGTGTGTGTGTGTGTGTGTGTGTGTGTGCGTGCGTGTGTGGTGTGTGTGTGTGGTGTGTGTGTGTGTGTGTGTGTGTGTGTGTGTGTGTGTGTGTGTGTGTGTGTGTGCCTGGTTCCCTTAGAGGTCAGAAGAGGGTGGTTGTTAGCCATCATGTGGGTGCTGGGAATCAAGCCCAGGTCCTCTGGAAGAGCAACTACATTTTATTTATTTGTGGGAGGGGTGGCAGCTGCAGTATGAGCATGCCACAGGACATGTGTGGACTCAGAGTACAGCTTGCCGGAGGTGGCTCTTTCCTCCTACCGTGTGGGTCCTAGGAATGGGACTCAGGTTGGAAGGCTTGGCAGCAAGTACCTTTATCTGCTGAGCCATCTTCACTGAGGAGTCTTACTGAAAATGTGGGCAACCCCTCTCCCGGCTTAGTTGATTTGTCTGTGAAACAGGATGTACATTAATGTTTGAGAGGCTAAGCCGAGAGCCAGTGGCTATCAGAATGACCCTATGGGACCATGAGCAGGCAAGGGAGACTGGATACCCGGTTTGTTTGTTTTGATGGTGCAAGGGAATCCAGCCCAGGCTCTCTTGCATGGTTGCAAGTGCTCTGCCATGCCACCAGGCCACACCTCAGTCTCCACCAGCTAAGTGTTAAGGGTGTCTATCCCAATAGCTCAAGGAGGGGCGGAGGGGCTGCAGGAAGTCACTTAACTGATTAGTCAATCAACTGGTCATCTGGAGAGGATGAGGGCAGGACTTGTGAGCTCACACTGCAAACAGAAAGGGCATAATTGCTAGGCTGTGGGATGACTTAAACAATGGGCTTGAGCATGATTGGCATGTGAAGGTAAATACGCTGAGTCAGCCTTCAGCTGTTGACAAAGAGGAAGGGGCAGGAGCTATGATGAGGTTGTTAAGGAGACTGTGAGTGGAAAGCACACAGCCCAGGGCCTGGCACACACGGGACACCCTTAAATGTTTGTTCATTTCTCCCAGGGTTGGTCCCTTTGCCTATGGGTGCCTCTTGGCTGGGAATAGAGGATGTGGAGGCCTCTGTGACCTGTGAATACTAGGTTTGAGGTTGAGGTCTGGGTGTCAGTGTATTCTATGGGGACTCTCACAGCACACATCTCCCACTGCTTTCTGACAGGGGTTGGTCTACAGAAGATCAATGTGGAGAACCCATTCCCAACTTCTAGTTTCATTTTGTCAACATCTTTGGTCTTTGTAAACAGTTTCCCTCAGCAGAGTTAGGGCCTGATTCGGTGCTGAGTGTGTAGCCTGGTAGGTAGAATGTTTGCTTGGCTTGTACAAGGCCCTGGGTTTAATCCTAGCATCAATAAAACAGGCATGTTGGTGAATGCTTGTATTGTAGCACTTGAGAGGAACTCTAGGTCATCCTTGGCTACATGAGGAGGACAGGGAGGGGCCAGGAGCCTAATTCTCTGTCCTGCCTGGACTTAGTCAACTAATAACACTACCACATGCCTGTTCCTCCAGTAAAACAAACAGCCAAATAGCAGGCACCCCCCCACACACACAATACAGA